AATAACGATAAGATATGTGTGCTTTTTTATTTTCTCTTTGATCTTTATGGTATTTAATGTCGAACCCTTTCACTTCCGGTGACTTCCATCCTAATGACATGAGCAGAAATTAAATTTAAATTTGACAAGACACATTATATATGGACCTGCATTGTTTCCCATCAAATTTAGTTTCAAAAAAGTTGTCTAAGATTAGAGAGGAGAAATTTAATGAATCAAAGATATATGAAGATTGATTAACAGTATTGTCCTTTATGCCAAAATGAATTTGGCTGTGAATACCAGGTTTATTAAATTAGAAATAAAAGAGAATGGAGTTAGTATGGAGACAGGAATCTTGCAGAACAAAGCAAGAAAAGAGATAAGAAAGAGAGAAGAAAAATTGAAGAGCATCTTAGATCCATTTGGCCAAAATTTAATGAATAGCTAGCCAAAAAGTAAAGAGACAACTTCCAAATAACACACACCTGGCACCAGTTATTACCTAACCATTAAAAAAGAAATAAAAACCATGGGCTCTTGGATCCAAAGTTTGTGCCACAAGGCTCCTTGATTGCAGGGCATATATTGGTGAGAATGTACTATAGCTATAGTTAGAATTTTACATGAGTGCATATTGGTGGCTTACCTCAAAACCCAATATTATGTATGCCAATCATTGTTGCTTACATAGTTGCAAGCATTTCCAACATACATACACATCACAAATGTTGCAACAAGCCATGCACCCTACTAATTAAATTATTATCCATACATTTTAGTTTACTACATAGTCACCATGCCAACACATTCCCCACTAAATCTAAAAATCCCTTCTCTAAGAATTAGTTTTGCCCCATCCCAAACCACCCCACTAATTATTATCCATATATAATTAAAGGTTTTTTTCTTTTCTTTGATGACGATGGACACTTCTTCGTCGTCTACCTTGAGTCAATTAGAAAGGTAAACAAATTCGAGTTTTATCTCAAAATTACCGATTTTAAGTAAAATCTTCATTTTAGAAAGGAACAGGTAAGGTTCTTTTTGTAATTTCATCACATTAATAAATTAAATGTTGATTAGTCGGTCCACAGAAATTTGTAAGACATGGAATTCTGGTATCAGCCACAGTTGCTGGCAGCAGAAGTGCAGAACCCAGCACATAGAAAGAGAAATTGGAAAGTGAAACAGTCTCAGGTCAATCAGATTCTGCTTCTTCACGCCGCATCATGAAATACACGAGTCTATCTGCCTAGCTAGTTTGAGCCTCACGCATGTTCCTTTCTCCTCAATTTTGTCCAATTCCTGTATGCTGCGTTCTGGATTTTGCTTGAAAGGACACATACATTCCAACTTATACAAGAATTAATTAGCAAATTAAAACCATGAAACTTATAACACAAATGTTTTGTTTTCTTGCTGATATTTAAAAAAAAAAAAAAAAATCTTTATTCGATCTCTAAAATTTACATTTCCGTGTGGACAAAAAGGAGCAGAGAAGAAAGAGGCAAGCTTATACAGACCCAAAAAAGAGGGTCAGTCACTGCCCGGCCATCGCCAAATCTTACCGTCCGAAAGATGGCCGGCCAGAATCATAACGGAAAAGGCGATTCAAGATTATGATGTAGCATTTTATATATAGAGTTTGTGTATCACCATGAGGGATTAATGGTCCTGGTCTGCGGCCTCATCCTGCTTCTCTTTCTCCTTCAATTTCTCGCTCTTTTCGCCGCAACAGCTCGTCTCACTCTTTTCCCCGAAAGAATACGATCTGGAGGAGGCGGGGGTGGCCAAGAAAGTTGGCTTCATCTCTCCGGCCATTATAACCAGAAACTTCTGTTCCAGAACCTGCGGCTGCGCTTTCTTCTGTGCGTCGTCTCCCTTGCCTTCTCCCGCTTCCAAATCCCTCTCTCCTTGCTCTCCTTCACCCATCTCCAGGGACCCAGAAAGTTTCCAGTAGGAGCAGGCGAGGACGAGAAGCGCAAAGGCGATGAGACCCAGCATGGCGGCCAATCCGCCGAACAAGTACGGAACGGGGGAGTGGCCCCACTGCGAGCGCGGTTGCGTGAGCTCCGTCGGAGGCTTTGCAGTGGCGTTGAAGGGTGCGCTTGCTGCCATCTTGAAATTAAGGAAGTACTGAAACTGAGTTTTGAGTGCAGGGGAAAGAAGAATGCGAGGAGTATTTATAGAAGGTGGGGAAGGGGGTAAAATGCAATGCGGTTGTTTTCCGGTGATTAATGTCGTCATTTTGTAATTAGGTGGGGGTCATCCATGAAGTGAGTCCCCGTGGCTCATTGAGGACTCTCAATAAGAACGTTACATTGGAACGCACTTAATTATTACCACTATATTTTCCTTTCCTTTTCCTAAGTATACTGCCATTTATACGTCGTAAAATGGTATTATAACGGTTGGTTTTTTTCTTTTTTCTTTTTTCTTTTTATAGATATATTTTTATTTATGGTTAAAGCATTATTTTATATATATATTTTGAAATTAATTCACCTTTAAGTGATTGATAGTGATATAAAAATAGTTTTTTATATAATTTTTATATATCATTTAATAAGTAGATATACTTAATATCACAAGTTTTTTTTTTATGTTGGTTACACAATATGAGGTAATTTTTTTCATTTTTTATTTCATCTTACCCGTATGCTATGCGACTTGAATTCATAATTTTTTACTTTTAATAAAAGGAAATTAACACTGAACTATTTAGGTCATTGGTAAAAAATTTTAAATAAATAAAAAAAATTAATAATTTATTTAACATATAAAGTTATATTAAAAAATGATATAAAAAAATTGTTTCTAAATTTTTTTTAATGTAGCATTCTCACGTTAATATTATGCATTCAAAAAAAATTAATTTTCTTAATTATTAATTCTAAGATTTGATATTACCAATTGTTATATAAAAAATAATGTGGGACAAAATTTTTCACAAGCTTATATATATATACACATATATAAAACGTTTATAAGGGGTTTTTCTACCTACACAAATTAAGATTGCATTAATTGCTTTATAATTAATTTTATAAGAAAATGTAAACATAGATATTAACACTAGTACGAACGATTTTAATAGGATAATTAATGAATTTAAAATTAACTTGGTTCTAAGAAAAAATATCAGAACATCTTAACATTAAAAGCGTTAGAACATTTAATTTTAATTATAATAATTAAATATATATGGTATAATGTAGACTTTAATTTTATTAAATTCATCATATTACTATTATTAAATATTTTAATATTTTTAATATCAAAATGTTTTAATTTTCTCTTTATTTTTTTATATAAATTAATTATAAAAACTACAGCTAATATATATATATACACTTACCTGTGTTCAAGGTTATATGATAGATCTCATTAACAAAATCTTGGGCTCTAAATTCCATTTAGTGTTTGACAATGTATCTTGTGAATTATATATAAAGTTATCACTCAATTTCAAGCCACCAGCGCATTTAAAAGTTTGCCTCATAAATTTCTAGTTTCAATATAAATGGTAGCACACCTTTGATTAAATGGCATAAGAGACATAAAAAACAGGTGTCTAAAAATTATATATATGGTACCTTAATTACTTTTTTTTTTTTTTTTTGAAAAAGAAGAAGATTAATGAGTAATGGGCTGAAATAATTACCAACAGAGCAATTGATATGAGGCATATAGATATTTTTGGGGATTATCATGGATGGATTGAGAGAATTAAATGGTATGAAAAAACTCTATTAATCTAATGACTCAACAATTTAATTTAAATTTTTTTTATCATAATAAGAGTTCGATCCTCTTCTCATTCCTTTTTCATTAACCACTTGGCCTAATAAAGAAAAAAAAAAGAAAAAAGGAGAATTAAGTGGTTGGCACTAGATTAAATTCCATGGCTGTTGTCTTATACGGCACAATAATGTTTTTGATTGGATTTATGAATTTGAGGAGAACAGGAAGGAATAATGAGATCTAAGAATTTTAGTGACAAGAGAAAAGGCTGTCTGACGTGATAAATAGTAAAGTTAGAGAGTTATGTAGTATTGTACTGTTTGATTACATGGTTTGAGTAATGTTCCACCATTTGCTCCCCGAAAAATACAAACTACATAAGATGCCAAAACCAATTAATTCATACTGTACATTTGTTTTTTCTTCCTGTATTTAACACCTCAATTTGATGGGCATTTTTTGATTTTAATAAGTCACATTACAAAGTTATACGTAATAATTATAGGGGTATATATAATAAGAACGTGACTGTAAATTTATTTATATTAATTATAAGGGTATTTTCTTCCTAAACAAACTTAAAATTATGACACCAACAAACTTAAAACTTAAATTCCTTTTCACTTATTAATTATAGGGGTATTATTTTCCAAATAAACTTAAAATTATGACACTAACAAATTATGATGCTCGTTTCAAATTTTAAATCATAAATTTCACATTAAAAAATAATACCACGGTAATTAGCACTTCAATGTTATTGACAATTCTCCATATATCATAAATATATTATGAAGTTGTGTTATCCATCCCTCTTTACAAGTAGGAAATTAAGACATAATGTTGGATATATATATTAAAAATAGTTTTAGAAATTGTTTAAACCAACTGTTTGAATTCAATTAATAGTTAATAATTTATATTTATAATAGTAAATAATAATTATTATTTATAATTTAAAGTATTTAATTCATTCAATTAAAATAAACATTCGATGCCTATCTTCAAAACTCTGACACAAACGCCTACTTAATTTTTTTTCAAGCGATGCTTAGAATTGGTTGGAATATTATAAGCAAAGCTCCATTGTCCTTTGCCTTGGCAATGAAATGAAAATGAAAACAAATATATTCTCTTTTCTCTTTAAATAAAAATAAAACGATGATAACCTATTTTTGTACGTATAAACTTAAAAAGTTTGAATATAAATATAGTACGATCTTTGCATGACTGTAGTGGACAAAACACTTGCCTCTTACAGCGTATTTTCGTTGTAGACTAAGAAGTCAATAGAAATAAAAAAAATAGACTAGAGAAGATCTAGAGAAGACGACACAAAACCAACCAAGTGAGTAGTGGTAAGTAGAGACCAAAAAATCGACCTATGTAACTGGTATTGATACCAGACGAACCATAAAATATTTTCAGCGAGACAAAATAAAATATTGATTAAAAAATGATTTATGGTTATATGAAATAAATTAAAATGTTAAGAAAAAATAATAAAATGAAATTTAATAAATGAAAATTTTTAAAAGATCTTAGGCATAAGATTAATTAGGTTTTATTTATTAATATTGTGTTATATTGCAGAAGTAAGTTTTTTTCTTTTTTGTCTTTTATTATTTAAAATATATAAATATTAATTAAAATTAATAAAAATTATCACACTTAATTAAAAATTAAAAATGTATATTTTAAGTAAAATATTATGCAGTCTAAATTTACTGGTTATTTAATTATAAATTAGTAACAAATCAGTAAATAAAAATTAAGAGCATGATGTATAGTGTAATAGAGCAAGAATCACTAATCATATTAAAAAAAATTTTGTACGAAGCACTGGGAAATAAATCCCCGTAGCAAAAACCAAAACACCAAAGATCCCCTTCACCTAGGGCTACAAACATGCCTTGCTCATTTCGTGTCACCTAATAATAATAAATAGATAAAGGGTATTTTATTTTATAATTTAAATTGTTTAATAAGAAAAGTTTTTCAATATTAAAAGATTCTCCCTTACTAAACAGTTAATGTTTAATAACGTGAAACAATTTAGATTGTATTTTCTTTTTTTCATAAATAAATGGATAACAATGTTTTAACAACTCAAAGAAGGGGTAGACCCTATATCATTACATGTCAACGCAAATTGGGGGTGTGGCATGGGGCCCTACTCGCACCGTCAGCTTCCACCACTAAACTCCAACGTACACGCCAAGCACACAATTGGATATTCATAATCCTTCCCATACGAAACCACACCTTCAACTCAACACTCATTCCATAACTAGTATTTATTCTATGGTCTCCACTAAGATTTGTTTATCTTATAGAGTATTAGCTTTGGAATAAAATGTGGTTAAAAAAAAATCAAACCAAATCCCACTTTATGATGCTTCCTTCTTGGCTAATACCTTAAAAGTTCTTTTATAATTAATCACTTACTAAGTATTTTTTTAAAAGAAAAAAAGAAAGAAGATTATTCCTAAGTTTCTTTAGAAGAGAGTTTGGCATCTAGATTGACATCAAGACGTCAAAAGTACTATTAACTAATTAGAATGAAGAGAGTTCCCCCACGCCTGAATCCCCATAGGCTGGGTTTTTAAATCTGTCATTTTAACTCGTTGTTATCCACAAATACTACTCCTAACCGATTACAATGAAGACTAAATTAATCATATACCTATTTAGGCTATAGCTTTATAATGAAATCTTCATTTTATTAAGATGATGATAACCATGTTTTTTGGCTATGCTTATGGTCATTATTAATTTTGTTAGGATCACAAAAAATTGTTAAATTTTTATTTTAATTTGATTATTAAAAATAACTAATAATTAATAAAATAATTAACATTTATTATTTAATAAATTAAAATTAGTATATAAATATATATTTCTAAACATTATAATTAACTATTTAAGAAAAAATTATAAACTAATAAGATTGCATATAAAATTGATGGTTTTAACAAAATTGTTTGTAACCATAACCTCAGCCATGTTTCTTAGGGAACAAAGTTTAGCAATGGAATGAGAGAGAACTCTCTAATTCCGGGGTTAAATCTTTACTAGTAAATAATTATTGTTTTATTGGTTAAATTTAATATTTAAATCTTGAGGCTAGCTCCCATGTAGTGAAATTTTTTTTTTTTAATACATCATTGCAATGTGGGGGTGCATTCTTAACCTCACATGTTAAGAGATTAGTCTAAAGGGGCCTATAGTTATTAAAAAATAATAATAATGTGGTGATATATTGTGATCTTCAAAGATAGTTCTTATATTTGACCAAATTAGAAAGATAAACTTAATTAATTGTTATAATAGTAAAATAAAAGGAATTGTGTACTTTGATTGCCACAAGTGTGTTAGTATTAAATATATAAGACAGTTCATTTAAAGAATCTGTTAGTTATAAATCCATTAGTGGAACCTTATTATCAGACTATAGGTATGGGTTAATTGAACATGAGATTTTCCTGTTTTATATATGCTAATTAAATTCCTAATGGATATATACCCCTTGTACTCTTTTATTAATAACACTTTTGATTCATCAAAAAAAAAAAAAAAAAAAACATGGAACTATAGATGGATGCAAGTATATATAAAAATGATTATTTTGTTGAAATGGGATATTGCCACCCTAATCGCGAGCTTAAGTGATTAGCATTGATTAATTGCTTGGTGGGGTTCTCCTAACCATGATTACCTAGTAGCTGCTCTAATTTCTTGTGCAATGTATTAGCTTTTCCTTGTATGCTCCCAAAAAGTTAACTTGATTCCGCATGGATAAGTACAAGGATCCCAATCTCAACATATATTCGATTCCTCTCTTGATACCATAATTGTGCTAATATATGGTACAATGAAGAGCTATGGTGGTGGGTAAGGCATATACACAACCGGCCAGAAACAGCTAGCTAGCAGTGCTGGAGTGGATTAATTAGTGGAATCAGTAATTAAGAGGTTTAATGATTGGGCCACTTGTTATTTGCTTCCCTAGAGAATCAAAGGTTGCTCGCATCCAATTTTTTATTTTTTATCTTTATATTTATTTTTATGTTTTGGGGAGAGTGGGGCATTCTACGAGAATCAATTGTGAAAATTGCGGGATAATGTTGGAATCTATAGTCACAAAAACATCATAAGCAAAGGAAAAGGAATAGAGAGATGAGTAGATGTTCCCTAACTACATGGATGGATATGTGATTAATTAGGGCCCTGCCCTAAACTAATCCACTATTTAATTAATCCTATAAATCTTAACGTGCTTGGAATAATAAATAAATTAACATTGCAGCCCATATGTATATATGAGATTAAGATATACCTAAGGAAGTGCCAATAATTATGAAAGTTATGTGTAGAAAGGGGTCATGCATGATAAATGCTTGCTTATAGAGATAAGGACAACTAGAAATTTCATTTCATGTACTCAACCCTAAAGAAAGGGGAAAAGATGCTAAATAATACATTGAGGTAAGATAAAGGGAAGAGCAATCTTGGTTAAGGGAATGTGATACATACAATGACAAAAGTAGAAAAGGAAGGGAAGCCATTTAAAAATCTTGGAAGTGGGATACTCATACGATGACAAAAACCAACACTTTAAAGGAGCATAGTCATTGTTTGCTTATTTTAAGAATTAAAATGTCTTAAGTGAACACTTCCATTCAAGTAGGTGCATCTCTTGCAACACCATGGGGTTGGATTCTTATTAAGAATTCCACTTTCATGAAACAAAGTTTGTGGAGTCCACATCTATGACTTATACAAATGCAATAAATTGTGACGTAAAAATAGTTTTATGAGTTTTGACTCTTATTTTAAAAATTATTATGATTAATAAGATATCTTATATTTAGCACTAGAATGGAAAGAAGATTGTGTTCAGCATTTTTTTTTTTTGGTTATATTGGAATATTAGTTGTTTCGTATAAATGAGATTTAAACTTTTAACTTTTATCTCAAATCAAAATTTTTTAGTTAATGAGTATTAATTTAATTAAACTTTTGTTGGTTATTCATCTTGAATTTCTTCCTTTATTTTTCATCTTTATGCTGAAAGCTTCTTTCCCCTTGAATATTTGGGTATACATCTCAATCGTTTATTAAAAGCAACTCAATTATTGTGGTGAAGCTATTTGCCGTGAAGAAATTAAAAGCATTCAAAAGCAAATTTCACGATAAAATTTCTTACCTTGCAAATCTAGCAATTGATGTTCACTAAAATGATTACATACACACATGGAAGAGATTAACATGAAATTGAACAATCAAATGCACGTGAGACAATGCAAGATTCAAATGCAGGAAGAAAAAGGAAGGAGAAAAAGAAAAGCAGAAATTGCAAACCAACCTCAAAGGATTAATTTTAAATCATTTTGTAGACTTCATTTAGTATTGTTATTGTTTTAGTAAACTTTTTGCTCTGATACCTTTTATAGTTAACGATTTTCTTTAAATAAAAATCAGAAACAATAACAATACCAAATAGAACATTGAATGTGAGAGTTGGCAGCAATTAAAAATTTGATTGCTACTTTAAAGCAAAGTCATCTACTCATCAGAAAAAGAAGAAGAAAAAAAAAGGGGCAAAAGTCACCTAAATTGCCAACACTATACAACTACTTCGCGTTTAATTAATGATGAAAACTTTATTTTGTAGCCAATTAGATACTACAAAGAATAAGTCTATATCTGATACGAACGGATAATGTTGAAGACTAATAAAAGAAGTTTTTTTTTTTTTTTAAATGAAAAAAAATTCAAAGAAGTTAATTATCGCAACAAATATAAAGCACTGTACGTAAAAAAGGTGATAAAGATGGCAAGGACATCATTTCATTTCATACAAAAATCATGGGAAAAGAGGTACCAATTTCAAACATTTTCATACAAACTTTGAATGAAAGTTCTCTTCTTTTTT